ATTTCATGTTCTAATTCAGTTTGTGATAGAGTGTAATCGAAAGGTTCCATAGGAAGGAATGTTGGCAAAGAAATATTAGAACTAGAAGTAACATGGGTAGATGATTTCAATTGGTATGAAAAAATGTTTTCATCTGAGATACTAACAATTCTCTAGTCTTGATATCATAAACAATATAGCATTTTATGCCACTCTTATATCCTAGAAAAATACACCTTGTGATTCTAGGATAAAATTTGGTACTATGACTAACAAGTGTGGAGGAAAAACAAAGTGAACCAAAAATCTTGAGGTGAGTGAGGTTAGGAAGACATTTATATAGGAGCTTATAAGGACAACTATTATATCCAAGATTGGTGTAGGAATTTTGTTGATGAGATTAACTGAGTGCATAACTGCATAAGAGCAAAATATTTTGGGAAGGTTAACTTGAAAAAATAAGGCTATAGCAACATTGACAATATGTTGGTGCTTTCTCTCTACTATAGAGTTTTATTGGGGATTTCTACACAACTTGTTCGGTGAACTATGTCCTTTGTAGCATAAAATTGGTTAAATTGAAACTTTTTACCATTATCAATTCTAATGGTTTTAACTGTTGTTTGAAATTTGTTTTCTACCAATGCACAAAAGGCTTGAATTAAAGGTCTAATTTTTGCCTTATTCTTTAGCAAATAAATCCAAGTATGTCTAGAGTAACCATCAACTATGGTAAGAAAATAAGAATGATCATATGGACATCATAGAAACTGGACCCCAAATATCAACATGAATCAACTCAAATATTGCAATGGTGAATGAAGAACTTAAGGAAAAACTCAGCTTTCTTTGTTTTGCAATATCACAAATATCACAAACATGATTTTTATTATAATGAATGAAAGGAAATATTTTATTAATTGATTGACCTCTATCAAAAGACGGATGACCCTATCTATAGTACCATAAATTGAGCAAACAAGAAGAAAAACTACAAGAAAAATTTTCTAAAGTGGTGTTGCAAATAATAGACGGTTGAGAAGAGTCGGCTGTTTAGGTGAAAATATAGAGACCTCTTTCTGCTTTAGCTGTGCCAATCATCTTGCAAATATTGGAATCTTGTATTAAACAAATGTCATTAGAGAAAGTCAGCTCATAATGAAGGGTTTGGATTAATTTTGTAACTGATATCAGATTGAATTTGAAGCTTAGGAAAAATAATACATCAGTTAAAACAAAATTGGATGAAAGGTGAGTTGTGCTAGAGATGGTGGTTGAAACTAAGGTACCATTAGTTAGGGACACTTTGAGAGGTAGTATGTGCCTATATGTAGTAAAGTAACCAAGGGAATTTGAGATGTGATCCATGACACTAATGTCTAGGATCCAACTAGAGATTAGTAGATTACCATTGCTTGTTGGAGTTGAATTAGTACAAGCATTCACATGAGCAGTGAGTAGGGTTGAGTCTTTCTGATCTTGTTGTGGCAGTAAAGGCAATAGATTATGATATTGGCTTGTAGTAAAACCAAATTGTGCACTTCCTTGCGTGTTTTTTCTCGATGATTCTTCTGGATAGTTGATCTCATTTTCTTCAATTACCACCATATTTGCAGAACTTGAAGCAGGTTTTTGGAATTTCTAAACTTAAAATCAGCAGGGAAACCATGTTTCCTATAACAAACGTCAATTGTGTGACCTATTTTTGCACACCACGAACACTTCTTGAAAGTGTATATGTTATTCCAAACATTGTCATGTTCTTGATTTTTCTTGGAGTTTGAAGCTTCATTGCTAGCCGCAATAAGAGCCTTTGACATAGTAACACTCTGAGTGGTAAATTGTCATTCTTGTTGTGAAAATTAGTGCAAAAACTTGATTCACATTGGGAAGATTATCCAGGAACATAAGTTGTGATCTAATACCTGAATATTGATCATTCAACCCTTGCAAAAATCTAACCACTTGATTCTTATTTCTTTCCTCTTTAATTTTATAGATTAAACCACATGAACATTTAGGGTTGCATGTGCAAACAGGAAGGGGATTCAAAACATTTAATTCATCCCATAGAGTTTTCAATGTAGTGTAAAATTTTGATACAAAGTTATCACCTTGTCTCTAGCGGAAGATTTCCTCTTAAATTTCTAAAATTTTGAATAGATTAGCATGTCGTGGAGCTCCCTCCACACATCTGAAGCCTTCTCATGCCAAAGAATGGGAAATCTCCACGTTCATTGACTTTATTAGCCAGATAAGAACAAGCATGTTACCTCGTTCCCACAAAGGAAAAGTTGCACGATTCTTCGGTAGTTCTGCAATCGTGTCGTTAATGAATCCTAGCTTGTTCTTTGTTAACAAGCTCATTTTTATTGCACGAGACCAACTGTGATAATTTCCATCTGTGAGCAGTGGTGAGACAAGGACAATAGAGGAACTCTCATTTGGATGTATATATAAGGGATGTGATGAATTTTGTGCATCCTACGGAGTATAGGGGTAGGTGACTTCATTAGCCATTGGTGTGCATAACAGAGCTCTCTCTAAGAGAGTTAGAACTGTACATAGGGTTACATATATACACGAAATAAAGTAACAAACAAATAAAGAAACATAATAAATAACAAATAAAGATAATCAAGTACCATAACAAATACATATTATACAAGCAAAATAAAATTTAATTTTCTATTGAGATTTGTGATTCCTAATGTGAAAACTTAACAAAATCAAAAACACATAGTCAAAGTAAATATTTGTACGTATTAATAAAGAAATTTAATTTTGTGATCGTTAATAATTAACTTTTAGTTTATTAATTTCATTTTTATTAATATAAATTATTTTATTATTTTATTCTTTAAATTTTATAATTATTTTTTAAATTTAATTAACCACCTATAATAAAATTATAAAAAAACATTTTTTCATCTATTTCTTTAATAGTTATAATCAAAGTTACATTTTTATCATTCTAATAAAAAAATAAATACATATGTGTAAACGTATGGGTTCACTAATATTAAATAAAAAATAATTGGATTGTTATAGTAATATAGAAACTACCTTTCACATTACCTTGCAAATATGTTTTTGTCATGAGACATCGTTCTAACCAAAAACAAAATTTTACATCATAATTCGTATGCTATATTAGTCCCAATAACAAGAATCCCTGTTTTTTTCATTTATATTTTCTATTTAACATCCTAAATTTGATAATTTTCATTTATGCTTCCAAAAGAAATAAAAAACTAAGTCAGTGATCACACAACATACTAATACTTACTATTAACCAATCTTGAATCCTTTTACCTAAAAAATTATCGGGTGAGAATTTTTATCTTGCCAAAAGAAAGATATACAAAGTGACACTCAATGGTAAGAATTTAAGCCCTTGAAATTTTACATACCATTTATGGAAAACCTAACTGAGCAGCATAAGAGAAGTTATTACAGATTTAACTCTAATTTTTGTGATTTGTACTTGGTCACCATAGAAAGAAAAGGAAATGGAATAATTTTGTAGAACAAAAGCTAGCAGAAGAGACATTAATGATTCATACGATGATGATGAAATTGGAGTAAGAAAAGATGGAAGTTGAACAAAATTGAATTTAGTGAGAAAAAATGTTTATGTAGTTTCGTTTTTATAGGGATGAATAGAGTAGGGTGAGAAAGAATTGGGAAAATGTTAGTGTCTGGAAATAGAAAGTGGTAGAGATGGAGAAGATTATGAATGGTATGTATTGGTAGGTTAGGACATGCATTTGTAGTGTTTTAGAGTGGCAGCTAGGGCAACACAACAGAAGCATCTCATTAATTCAGAGTATATGGGTACATTGCAATTCACTGTTATTTCCCAAATATGGAACATGATGCACAATCAACCCATAAAACGAAAACCTACACATTTCAAACATTTAAATAAATCCAAATTCAAATGCTTTTATTTTCTGCATCCACAAATTTTTAAAATGACTATTTTATTACATAAAAGTGTGTCTTTTGGAAATTTTCTGAAAAAGTTTTTTGGAACTTTTGAAAAAAAAATTAAAAGAAAATTTCTGAAATAAAATTTTTGGTGCAAAATTTTTGAAATCAGATTTTTGAAACGCATGAAATATATTCTGAGAAAAGTTTTCTGAAATAGAATTTTTAAACAAAATTTCCTTACATAAAATATTTTTCAGAAAGAATTTTTCAAAAACATATAAAACACATTCTGAAAAAAACCTTTCAGAAACAATTTTGTTGTTGGAAGGTTATATTAAAGCGGGGGTGTAGTTATTATTTGTGTAATGTAGGAAGCAATAGCCGAAAGCATATCCATAATAATTAAAGCTTCCTTAGACTATAAATATTAGTGCAACAGTTTCTATTTATAAAATAAAACATTTTCAACTAATTCTCACCTTATACGTAAATGATTTAAATTAGTTAGAAGTAATAAATTTATCTGTAATTTATATTTTTTTTTCAAAAATTATTCTTACATATTCAAAGCTAAAATATTTGAGACTTTAGTGTTTGTAAGTCAAATTTGTTTCTTTTAAATTCAGTAACATGAAAATAAGAGTTTGATTATATTTTTATTTCTGATAATTAGGGTAAACGTTTTTTAGTTCCTCAAATTACGGAATATTCATTTTAGTCCTTTATTTAGTATTTAAAAACTAAAATTACATTTTTATTTTCCAGTTATGAGAATAAAAAAAAATGTATTTTCAGGTTTTTGGAATAAAAAACCAGAATTGTTAGAAATTTTAAGGATTAAAAGCGTAATTAAGAAAAATAAAAATAACGAAAGAAAGTAGATAAAAGAAAAGTAATAATTCGAAAAATACATAGTCAAGAAGGAATAAAGAAGAAAAATGGAGAGAAATAAAAGGATGAGTAAAAATAAGAGAAAATAACGCAAAGGATAACTAACACCAATTTCAAAATTAATTATCCTCTACACTATAAAGAAACAGCAAATAATTTGTATCTGCTCAATTGTTTTCATCATCTAAACCAAAATATATTACAAATGGCAGTGAAACTACAATTCCTATTGAATAACAACACCAAAACAAAGTTAGGCCTTTTATTTAATTCTCTCAGAATTTTCAACACTGTCTCCTTGAAGGCTAAGATGCAGTGAAGCCACTTCCAATCAATTTAGATGAAACAAATTATGCGAATTTGCTAATAGCAATGTAAGATTAAGATGAAACCATAAAAAGAGGAGAACAATAACAAAGGATGTCCTAACACAATACTATCCTAAGAGAGAATGTCCAACAAGGTTCATCTAACTGTCACATGGGTGTCTCTGTTTCTAATTTCTAAGACCTTCTTGTGAGAGTTAGAGTGCAATGATGCTACAAAAGTGGGGCTAGCTGCAGGACGGTATTCAGCAAAGAGCCTGCCAGAGCGGTACCGAACTCCACAAGCGTTGCATAGGGTCTTTGGACCCATTGGTCCCTCTCTCCATTGTGGTGTCTTTGTCACCTCACAGTGCATGCATTTTCTGATACCAACTGATTCCTCTGATGAGGATTTCTTCATCTCAATTTTGTTACCTACCATGGGAATGTTCTTTTTCCTCTGCTTTTTTATCACGCTTGAAAATTTCCCAAATGGTTGTGCTTCAAATTCTGATTTTTGAAAAACTGGTGAAGTAAAGATGAAAGGAATGGAGTATAGCAGGGTGATGTTTGAGAGAGGCCTGCGTTTGCTTCGGGGACGCTTTGTTGGGATAACAGGTAACTCCAAGTTAGAGTTCTCAACCGAAGAACTACTACTACTGTTTTCAAAAACAGAAACTGGGCTGTTAGTTTGGAATTGGTGCAAATCTTTTGCAGTGAAAGAGACTTTCTGGATAGGAACATTTTTGCTATATTTAGGACCTGCCGTCTTCGCTGTCTGTTTTTTGAGAAAAAACAATCGAATCCACCAAAAGGATAAAACCAATCAGATTCATAGACAGTTAATATGTGTTTGTACACAAAAACAGGATAAAAATTCAGCATTAGTTCATGTTTTGAGTAATGAGATAAGAGCATGAGGTAATATCTTCCAGCATTTACATGTGTGCCACAGCTCATAAACATGTGTGCTACTAAATTATCAGATGTCATAGCACAAAGTCAATACTATAATGGAACAGAAAAGAACCTGTCAATACTATAATGCCATATACTCATAATTCAAATTAACAAAAAGACCCCAACTTACAAGCATTGCGTAGAACTTCTGTCACTTTTTGAGGGCAATACCCATAAAGTTAAGAGGCACGAGTAACAAGATAATTTTGAGACAGATTTTCAATTTTTCATGGTGTAACTATCATTCTTCACAACTAATAGCTGCAAAGTATGCATACATGATAAGTTCAGGATTTTGGACAACAACAAACCAATAAACACTTTAAGCATACCTTTAACTCCAAAAAAGTCCCCTCTCCTATTATTCAAGTTCGAAATATACAAAAAAGAAAAAAAGGAAGACAAAAAGCATAAGCAGGACACTTCAAGGGAATTCAGAGAATCACCACATGATTAGCTTTAGTCTTCTTGTCCCTGTATTGGAGGAGAAACCTAAGGAGGATGGAACAAACTCACTCGCTATATATACATGGCAACACCATTATCACAAATAAGTACTGTGTAACTTTCCCAAACTTTAGTTAGGCAACTATTTGAGCCATCTAAGCTTCTTCTTGGCTATAAAACTACATACTTTGTTTTCGTACTAGACCAAAATACAACATTTTTATTTTTTCATTTTTAAGAGAAGATTGGTGGACCTTTTATTAATGGAGGAGCCTTCCCAACTTGCCCTCACAACTCAAGTGTGTCCTTTGTTTCGTACAAAGGACCCTGACCCTTTCCAAGAGCTCCTCCAAAAATTTGAGGAGTTTGACACTTGGATCCAATAAGGTGTCGATTGTTTTGGAATTTAAGATTCATTTTTTTTCTAGAATATCCACTGCACACTTCCATTAAGATATGATAATCCCACTTTAGAACTATGCAACATATCTATCTCCAATAAATATTTTAGTTTGCTAAGATCTTTTGTTTGGAAAGGCTTGAAAGGATGCTCCTTCACTCGTGCGATACCAATATGATCACTACTTATGTTGACAATATTATCAACATAAAGAACCAGATATGTGCAATTAGCAATTGAGTGACAATGGAAAACAGAGTGGTTAGGCTTTTCTCTGAGTCACACCAAACTGTTGAATCACAATACTAAATCTGCAGAACTATGCTCTGGAGGATTCCTTGAGTGTAACGTGCACAAGAAATGTTGAAGAGAGAGACAAGGAGGGAAAGGTTGTTAGGAAAAAAAGCCACGTGGCAAGGGATCTGCAAGCTGAGGGGATTAGGAAAAGCATGAGGCAACAAACAAAGAATGTTTTATGGAAGGACTTTGGGCAGTGAGAGATGTGTATGTGGTATCATTCTCTAATTTCTCTCTGATGCTCTCTATTCAATCTCAGACTGTCTGATCTCTTTCATCATTATTCTGATCAGGTTCTGCAATGCCGTGGCCATGACGAACGTTCTGCCTATTAGAAGTTTCTGTTCTTCTCTTTGGATAATTGTTGTTGAGATTTTCAGTTGTGCTTTCTGAATATAATCTGTTTCAATTCCAGCATATTCTTTGGCTGTCTTTTAAACATTATACTATAAAAGAAACTGTTACATTGAGCACATATAAAGAATGTTGCAATCAATATATATCATCAGAAGAGTGCCACCGAGCAACAAAGCAAAATGATTGATCCATATAGACTTCCTCAAGCAGATAACAATGTAGAATGACATTCATTATGTTCAACTAGTAGAGAGGCTAATGTCAAATGGTAACAATGGACAAAATTAGTCTCACAGGAGATGTTTTGGCAGAGGAGAAGCATTACAAGTAAAACGTATATCATTTTGAAGAGCAATGGGAATTTTGAATTCAGGAGGTGGGATTGGAGGAAGATGTGAAGGAGTCAGCGCAAAAGCTGGGTTTGTGGAGTTGGAGCTAGGTGGCAGTAGTACATGAGGATAATATTGATACAGCTACAATGGTGGAGAAGATAGGAGGGGATGAAGACTCCTCTAGAGAACAAAAGTGGAGTGGAATAGAGGCAGGCGTGGAAGGAGAAGTCTAGGATACAGATGGTGCAGACCCAAAAATGAAACTATGTCAAAGGGGACGACATTAGAAATCAAATGCCTACAAATTGAAGGGAAATAACATTTATACCTGTTTGAGATTGTGGGCATCCAAGGAAAAGACACTTGTGAGACCGAGGAGAGATTTTGTAAAAGCCAAAACTAGGAGCACAAATAAACATGCAAAGCCAAAGACCTAAGATGGTAAAGGACGAAGAGAATAACAACAATTAATGGTGTGACTAGGTTTGTGGCAATGGTCACACTTAATTTCTTACAATATAGAGGAAAAAGTCTACATGAGAATTCCTTCAGGTTTTAGGTCTACTGAAGGAAATAAAGTGTGCAATGGAGAGACATCTACAGGCTATGTACATAATCTTTCAATATTTGAAGACAAGTCCAGAAAAGGGATTATTGGAGGTATACACTTATGCAAATTATGTGAGGTCTATCATAGATAGGAAATCGATCTCAGGATATTGCATCTTCTTAGGTGAAAATTTGTGAATTAGAGAAGTAAGAAATAAAAATGTTGTTGTAAGGTCTAGTGCAGAGGCTGAATTCCGAGCTATCACACACGGGGTGTGTGAATTATTATGGTTGAGGATTATTTTTAATGATCTTAAAGTGACATGTGAAGAGTCTATGACTCTTTATTGTGATAATAAATCAGTTATTAGCATTGCTCACCATTTTGTTTAACATAATAGGACCAAGAGCTAGAGATAAATAGACATTTTATTAAAGAAAAACTAGATAATGCCTTGTCCCTACTTCTTATGTGCCATATGGACTTCAGTTAGCAAATCTATTTACAAAAGATCTTTCCACAACATTTCATGATTTCACATGCAAGCTGGGAATGATAGATATCCATTTACCAACTAGAGAGGAAGTGTTGACTTGGAAGAAAATATGGTTAATAAGCTACATTAGGATATTAAGTGAATTGTTAGAAGCTGTTAGAAGATTCTAAAGATCTCTTTACTTCATGGTTAGAGTTATTTATATATAGAGATTGATGTACTACTTCATATCATTTCTTTTGTTCAAATTAATCCTTTTCAAGTTAGAGGATAGCCAAAAATTCCAGTATGAAACATACTTTCCACATGAATAGTTTTGGCAACATAAGCAGGGTTTCCGACATGAATTACGTGAAACAGAAAAAAAAAAGTAGGAAAAACACAAATTGAACAACAAAAACCATTTCTAAAAAAGTTTACACCTATGAGCTATTCAATTTCAATTTATAGGCGAGAGAATATAATTACAATATTCAATTACCATATTTTAGGTTAATAACATAAATATGGAATCAACCAAATTAATCCTAATATCATCAATTGATTCTAATATCATCAATTAGTATATCAATAGGATCCTACAAGATTCTAACAATTCTAATAACTATGGCTTGGACACTGGATACGACAACATAATTGTAATTACAAATCTTTTCATTGTCTATCTAGGAGGAGGTTCACCGAGGAGATACAACACCATATCTGAGTCTAATCACATAAGGAATTGACACCATTCTCTGCCCAAAACCTTAAGGCAATGGGTTAATGAGTTTTTCACCTTTATATAGTGCTCTATTTTCTCATTTATATCCAATGTGAGACTTGGACTCACACTTGGATTCCCAACACACTCCCCCCTGCGGAAGCATTCCCAACCACAAGTCCCCTTCGTATCGTCGTTCATCTTAACGGTACACACTTACCTGGAATCCTTCGCCAGGAAGACTTTTGATACTGGGACCATTGTACTCGTCTGAGTCCGTCACCAAAACAAACTATTTTGATACCATATATTTTCCTCATTCCATGTCAAATATGTTCACTTCCATGGAATTGCCTACTATTTACTATTAACTTTTAGGATACAAAAGAAAGACAAACAAGTAATTTTGATCCCAAACAAAGCATTAAGAAATAAAAACGGAGCATACTAATTGGGTATTTAACCAGGAAACCCATACACACAAGTCTCAAATACGGGTAGCATTTGGGTTAACCTGTTTATCATGTAAATAAGTGGTGTTAGAATATTTATCATCATTATATTATATCTAAGCTTATCGTATTTATTATCATATTGTGTTTAGATTACTCTATTTATCATGTATTTTATATTAAACTTTCATATGCATAGAATGAGAATGAGAGTGAGAGGGATCTTTTAAGTTCTTGAGAATTATTTTACACTTTCAATAAATGGAAACCAAAATCTTCAATATATGATTTTACCACAAATTTTCCTTCTAAAAGTGTTAGAAAGTCATCTTAATTGTAGCCACTCTTCACTCCCCTTACTTACAACTATTTTGGAGGTTTTTCGAAATTTTTAATTTAACATTGAGTAGTGATACAACCACTGGTTTGGTATGGTTTGGTGAGCCTAAATTCAAATTTGAAATTAGAATCGAAATCTATTATCCTAAATCCATTGTTGTTCCACTTGCAACAGAGGCATAAATTAATGGAGCGTAAACTGAAGAAAGAAACTCACAGAAGCATAGAAACTCGTTTCGACTTTCACATTCTCATTTTGAGTATGAGCACAGAGTTGAGACGATTGTCCAGGAAAAATTCCCAGTGAAGGCTCTTCAAGGAATTTGAACTGAGCATTCCAATCTTGCTCCGCACCATCATCAGTTTCCACGTCTTCAAAGGGGAAATCGAAAAACTCGATGTCCATGACATCATCGAGTAGGTCGTCCGACAAACCATTAAAATTCTTGTCGAAAAACAACCAGTCCTTCATGCTTGCAAGACCTCCAAAACAAACATTAGAAAACAAACCATCCATTATTGGTGGAAAAATTAAAAAAATATGATTACTGTTATTATTATATTTCGACTATTAAACCCAGGATACGTGAAAGAAACATAATGATAAGCAGCTAAGGAAACGGTCACGTAGATTGCCTTGTAAACAATGAGGTGGTCGAACATTGTAGACAGGAAAGATTATTGTGAAAAAAAGATGGAAATGAATAATGGAGCAGAAAATGAAGAGGTACAGAGAGAGAGTGAGCGGGAAAAGGTGATTGAGAATGGAAAAAGAGAAGAGACTCACGGTGACAGAGAGAGGACAGGTGAAATTGGCACTACTCAACCGAAACTGAACACAACAGATTGAGTAGATTCCTTGAAATCTCTGTTTTCTTTTTCTTTTTTTTTTATACGGCGGTGGCGCTACCGGAAGCCCTTATCTCTTTCTTTCTCTCTTTTTTTTTTCAATTATTTCACATATATATCTCTTTTCTATATTTTATTCTACTTTTTCCTTTAGAAATAGTTACCTTAACCTTCAATTTTATATTGGTAGGATAAATTAGTATTTTAGTTTGTGTATTATAATAAATATTTATTACATATAAGAAGATATATCATATTCAGGACCATATTTAAATTTGAGATAAAATAAGTTAGCTCTCGTGTATATTTAGCTGATTGAGTTGTTAGTTATACATAGATACTGCATTTTCAGTGCAAACAATAATAAAATACACCTACTTTTATTTAGATTATACAAATCCAAAGTTGAAAAATATGTTCACGTACATTTTTCATACGCTGTGTAGCACGAATATTTACAGAGACACAAGTACTTCAACATATATATTCTTCTAGGACACGGAGACACAAAAATCCATATATAAATTAAAGTATTTATATCCTCAAAAATCATTTATAAAAAAAGTTAGTCTAATATAATAATTTAAATATATTATCAGTTAAAAAAATAAATCTAATTTATTTATCTAACATCCGAAAACAAAATATAGTAATCATATAAAATTTGTTTATTATTTCTATAATCATAATAAAAATTATACAATAAATTTACAAGTTTCAGTTTTTTTAAAAAATTATTGTATTTATAGTTATTAATATTGTGTTGAAATTATATAAAAATCATGTTAAAGACAAAATATTTCTCAAATTAGACATTTCACCAATTGTAATACGAATATTATACGCATTTTGGTGTTTAATAATGGATATGCCAGCTTAATAGTTCATAAGTGATAAATAGAAAAAGAATTTTTTTTCATGACAATTAGTAAATATTTGATTTATCAATTTAGGCAGATTTAACTCCCCTTTTCATCGCCCTCGGATAGAGGTAAATCTCAGGAGCCATTTTGTATATTATAACGTTCACATTTCTTCTTTCGTTCCACATAATTCATTATTGGTAGTGAACGTGGGGACCATGCAGACGCGGTTGACAATTACCATGTTCAATAAATTCAAAACCATTAATGCTTACAACTTCCAAAAGGTTGTGATGTGCTGTAAAATTTTGAAAATGTGTTTGTAAAATTATTTTAAGAAATTAATGAGTCAATAGCTACTTACGACCATAATTAATTTAGTGCGTTGAAAAAACAAAACAATTTGTTGTATCTTTTTAAATCAACTGAAATCTGAATAAAAGTATCAAACCTACTTACACAATACTCAATAAAAACTAAAGGTTACTAAATTCAACCCCATTTTAGTCGGTGTAAAGTAATGTCGTCAAATCAAAAGGAAGAATTGTAACAAAAGCGAAAGGCATAAACTCGAGAGGCAATGTTCTGATGAGGGACAAAACTTGGAGGAAAATCCAGTTTGAACTATACGAACGGGTATGAGAATATCGATCAAATTTTGTCTAAAATATATGTTCCCGAAAATATCTTTTAGACTCTGATCCCATAAATTATGAATTAATTACTTTCACTTCTTAACTTTCCACGTTCTTCTTCTCGCGTTTACAATTAGTAAGAATATGAAAAAGAAAAAGACAAAAGTAATTGCTAGTGTAACGACCCTCCAGAGGCCATATGCAGAGCTAAAGTTGTCCCAACTATCCTGCAATGCAACATAGTAAAATAAATCAAATTGAAGACAATTTCGGTGCAAGTCACCAAAGTCTTCAGGCAGTTGCCCCCTTCCACGTGCATATAGATTTAAGATTACCAAATGTGGTCGTGAGGCCAGCTTTACAGAGTAATACCTTACTCATTTTATGCTTTTTCTACATATAAATAAACTTCATTTCATGGATATACACACATCCTTCACATATATGCTTCACAAAGAAATATCGGGTTTTAAAATTTGTAGATGCCTTTCATTAAAATTCCAATGTAATACAGATGAGCCATATACAACAATTTGTTAGAAAGTTGTCCCAAGATTAAATTTAAAGAAATTATACGCATAACACAGTAACTATAATCAAGTCCTCGAAGTTACTATTAGAATGCTTTATTTTTTTTTTAATTTCCAGTTGTGCAAAATTAAGACTCCCAGTCTTCTTCAACCATTAAATCCCGTGAATATGATCATCTTAATAGAGAAAATGTATAAAACCAGCATCATACCTCATTAATCAGCAACGACGTTTTATGTTGTTTATTGAAAATGGCTCTTGCATATTCGTAGAGCTGCAAGTCGAGGTCATTAAGAGATCGTATCTCATGGAGAACCTCTTCAGGAACCTGAAGACGTGCCTGTAAAATCACAAATCATTAGAAAGGCACAACGCAATAGCAAAAGCTAACAGGAAATTTCCAATCTAACTCTAAAATCAGAAGTCAACATTAATCAGACACTAAAGACTCGGTCTTTAATAACTAAAAATCCAAAAGAAAAAGGTAATAAATGTTGAAACAATTTGTCAATGTATGACAAGTTCAATACATTCATATCATATATTATAAATTTCTAAAATATATTAATGCGGTTTCACTTGCATACATTATAAATACCAATGAAAAATGTAACGATATATGCATTTTACCTATATATTTTATTAGCCTGTCATTGACTTCTAGAAATAACCAGTGTATGAACCCAATATACAATGCACGTAAATTTCTATGTCAAAACATCCTTGCTGATTTGAAAGCCCGTGAAATGATTTGAGATACAAAAGTTAACATAATGAAAGAGTGCACAACATAGGTATCCCAGACAATACACACGAATTCAAAACCGAATTCCAAGTCTAAATAGCTCGAAATAAAGGCATCACCAATCCATGTAAGAAATACATATTCTGGACAGCCGTTCGTGTCTATACCTGAAGAGTGAGTTGTGGAGGAATAGAAATTCACACACACATGGTAGAATGACATTATGTGAACACTAGAACTACTAAGCTTACCTCCTTTGTAAAGTTCACTGGAGAAATCCTCTTCAAGGAAGCTATACGTCGGCGTGACTGAGCCTTCCGTAAATTGGCAATACAGAGTTCATAAGCATCCATTAGTTCTCCAACAGTCATCTAAAATAAATAACGGATCAACATGCAGTTTAAATATGAGAAACAGATAATAACTAGCAAGCCAATGAAACAGCCACACTTGCTAAGAAAACAAACTTACATTAGATTCTGTTGCTTCTCCCCCTTCACTTGAAGTAACCTCACTTCCTTCCCTGTTCAAGGTGCTATTCTGTTTTACAGTAAGAAAAGTTGTAAGAATGCTTTCCATATTCAAATTTCAATAACAAAGCTCTTACATCAAAGAGACGCTTCTAACCTGATGTTCAATGCTATCCAGATCAGAATTCGAAAATGAACTCCTTTCTGTAGTGCAAGTACACGATCAATGCCATATGTCAATGAAAATACATCACAATATATATCCAAGACAAGACTATAAATGTCAACACCAAAATACTACTCAATGGTCATTTCAAAATGTGATACTACACACATCAGAAAATGTAACACGTTTTGGTGCAAGCAAGAATATGATATGATCCTCAAACAAAAAAGAATGAGTGCTACCATCATTCTCAAAATTGTGCAACATTTTAGACACCTTTGCTTTTGTAACATCAGAAAAGGTTTGACACACAGTGTTTAACCACACTTACCTGTATTATCAGTAGTTTCCAGGCTAGACTTCGGGGCATTGAGCTGTGATATCACTTGAGTACCAACCACATTTGCAAATTTCGTTGCAGATTCTCTGTGTTCCTCTGTTAGACCAACGTACAACATATCATCCAGTCTCTTCTGCAATATATACAAGCATGAGTCGCTGTAGTGTTGAAGAAAGGATCAGTATGGGAAGCAAAAACTAAATGAATACAACTATCTCACTTGAAAAGCTTATTTAATACCTTTGCAACTTGTAGCACATATTTACCAAGGGTTTTGTATTTCTGTACACAATGGCGCACTTCATGTGCCTCTGCTATATAAGAATTGTTTGTCAAACCTGCAACCTGATAATTGAGCGGTAAACCAAACTCAATTACATATAATACAGACAGCGTTATCAAGAAACTCCATGCATACATGATTTCAGCTTTTAATTACATTTGGGGATTTAGATTTGGCAGGATATAAATACAACTAAAATTAAGCACTGCACATCCTATCTAGTTAGCCTTATATTTAAATGAAAGCTACGGTATTGGTGTTTGTTAAGGCATAAGGCAAGAGTAGATCATACAACAATAAAATGGGTAAGCAGTCTCGTGGCTAAAAAATTATATGCACCAATTTTTTATTTTTTATTTTTGCATTGATTATTAGTGATATTACAACACAGAGAAGTTCTAGGAAAGATACAGTTGAATAACGATGTCAGAAAACAGTGAGACATTCTAGTATTTCCTGAAAATGATGAAGCATAAGAATGTCCACACTGCTAAACAAACAGTTGCTGTAGTACCTGGAATGTGGCTCCATTATGTACAACATCCACAGCCACAGGATCATTGATGTATTCTTGTAATGGCATTGCAAAATCTTCCATGTCATAAGAATCATTGCTCTCATTGATATTCTGTCCCCTACTATACCTGGCATCTCTCTGTCAATTAAGATCTACATCAATCATGAATACATCACATAGAAGTACAGAAAAACATGTAAAAGTAATAGACTCTTAAAACCTTATACGGATTTAGAAGCTTGGAAATAAAATTCACAAAAAGGCCAATGTCAAACAACAAAATAAAATAAACATACCCTAGCAAATAGATCTTCTCTCATCCATGGAACGAGATACTTCCACGGCCATATATCCAGTGTGCTTACTCCTTTAGTCTTAGAGCTTAAGCGTAGAGCCATCTTTGTTGCAGAGGTCAAGTTTGGATGCACCAAAAATCTAGCTGCAACCTCTATTGAAAATTCATATGTACTAAATACACGGTCAACTGGATCCCTAAGTATGGTAACAACAGAAGTTCTCTCCCTTGGAAGTTTGGA